TTTGAATTTTATACATGTATAGATATTTTATACATAAATAAGAGGCAGTTTATTATTTGTTTTCTTGTGTTATTTGTAGTGTTGTATTTAAACCGAACCGAAACCGTGGCCCAAATACAGAGGTACATACCGTACCGTGGGATACCTGTACCGTTGCACCCCTACTATCTACGGGTGCTGAACCCACACCTCAAAAATGTTTTCCATAAAAGCTTCACTCTGTGTAAATTTCTTACAAATCTTGTAATAATTTCTCTAATAATTTTCAAAGGGCAGACTGTGTAAACTTTACTTCTGTTCCATCAATACATTTATTTAGCAAATGCTTTTATCCAAAGAAACGGTTATTTTGAAGAGAGCAGGATCAGGGGGGGTTAAGGGCCTTGCTTAAGGGTACAAGGTGAAACTTGGATCAGATTAGCTTATTAGCTCATCCGGGGCTGACACCCCATAGTGTTGCAAATTTAACTGACATTCCTCCCAAGACAGGACAAGGTCCGGATGTTTGCTGAGGCCCCGGATGAAATGACTCTACCAATCTGGGGATTTGAGCTGGTTAATTTTCTGATTACAGGCACAGTAACCTGCTGTGCCAGACAGTCCCACACACACCTCTGTCATTATGCAGAGAGCTAAGCAAACTAGCTTTACAGCGTGGGTGGAGCCGTTGAGTGGGCTTACCTGTGTCTGCAGTGCTTGGGTGGAAAAGCGTGTTGGTATAGGTAACGAACTGGAGCTGCCTGTTCAGACGGGGGAGCAGACTGCTCCAGAGGGTCATGTGCATCTCGCCTTCTCCCCTAACACTGACTCCCTCCACCTCGGCCGCCAGGTGGAACACACCCAGCGTAGCGGTCAAGTTCACCTGCGTGGGGGAATCGGAAGGGAGATGGTCCGGGGATTAAAGAAAAGCCCACAGTGACACAGAGAATGCTGGATGGCCGGTGACTTACCAGGTGAAGATCTTTGGAGGTTTCTTCTAAAGCCAGTCCTATAAATCAACCCATTAAAAAAACAGTTAACTCATACCAGAACAGCTGGCCCACATCAGCTACAGAAGTACATGGCTCCCATAACTTTACTAAAACATAATGATTAATATCTGTATATGCATGATGAGACATGCATCCCGCAGGCTACATTCCAAACAGTTTGTGTAACAGAGGAACAGTGATAGTGAATCACAAAACAGACAGATTCAGACTAAAACTGCGGCTTAATTTTACACTAACAGTCAAAGGTTTCTGCAGACACTGAGATTCTCCACATTTGCATGTTACTCACTTAACATTTACTAAAAATACACTCAATATGCTTTGCTAACAAGTGTTTATAAAATAAAATGTTTATAAATGTTTAAGAAATAAAAGGAAAAGCAGCAAAAAGCTGTGGTGCACAAAAGCTGTGTATTTAAATATTCAAGCTACATTTTACAGTTTTTTCCAATCATTTTAACGTGTTTCAATACCATCTCCACTTTTTCGAAACACTTAGCACATGCACCATGCCATTGGACCATGTGAGCTAAACTATGTATACTTTTGCATTGCTTTGACACAATATGCATTCAATCACCACTTCCCCCAAATTTCATGAATACTTCTCTCAGTCAGTGTTCGCCACCAGCAAAACTTTGTACAACTACAGCTGATTTTTCAGACGTTTAGATAATCTGCTCGAAACTGTTAACTTTCAGGTCAAAACCTAATGAAATTTAGAGCACTGTAAACTGAAACATGCTGCATTTTGACAGACAAAGGACACTATGCACTTGCACTAACACAAATAATTATGCTTCTAGCAGAAATTTTGTAATTTTGTTTTTGTTTGCTGCTTTGTTACCATCTATACAAATGAGGCCGTGGAGTGTCCCTTTCCTTTTTGCAAAGCAACACAATGTATTCTGTGCAAAAATAGTGGTTATGGCAACACATATATTACAGTAAAACATTTACATTTATTCATTTAGCATGCATTTTTATCCAAAGTGACAGTGAAGTACTACAGGGACAGTCCCCTTGGAGCAAGTTGGGGTCAAGGGCCTTGCTCAGGGGCACAATGGTGGCGCCCCCTGGGAGTGAACTCACAACCTTCTGGTGTTCCTAATGGGAGCCCAGCCACCACCACCATCCCCCTAGATCACCACCAAGCATTTTAAAATGCTTGAAGCTGGAAAGCTGAATGAAAACACACACCTGGCTGTAATTTCAGCTAGGCACCTATCCAGGAATTTGTGTGGTTAGTGCCAATTTGCCATATGTACTGTACAAAAGGGGCCATCTTTGGATTGGTATTTTCCATGGCCATTTTTCTTTAGCTAGTGAAGACATCAATGGAGAGGAAGAGGAAGAACCATGTTTACTGATGAAATCAGAGCCACAGTAATTGACCATGTTGTAACTCATGGTCTGTCCCTGAGAGAAGTGGGTCTAAGAGTTCAGCCCCACCTGCCTAGATCCACAGTGACACCAATTGTCAGGATTTTCAGGCAAAGCAACAGATACTATACACTATTTAGAGCATTCACTATTTAGAGCTGACTGAAGGCATTTGATTGATGTGTATATTACTGTAGTGGTGTGATTTGAGGGAAGTCTCCAGGAAAAAACTGATGCATCGATGCACGTTGGTCTTTACTGTAACCCACTACTGTAGGATTTAGCATTTACCTCCCACAGGAGGGAGAGGAAGAATTTACCGGTATCTGTGACTGTGTGGGACAATGTGGCCTTTCATCATTCCCGCCAAGTCACAGAGGGGTTTATAGCCCATCCCTGGATGATGTCATTATTCTTGCCACCATACTCTTCATTCCTCAACCCCATTGAAGATTTTTTTTGGAATGGAAGGTATATGACCATCGGCCACATGATCAGATGTCGCTTTTAGATGCAATGGCTGCTGGGTGTGTGGACATCCATGTGGAGGACATCCAGAGCTGGATAAGGCACTCAAAGGGATTGTGAAGTGTTTTGGTGGTTTTAGTGCATTTTGATATGCTCAGATGCATGTTTGTACAGTTCACTGTGTGAAGTGTTTTGAAAAAGTGGACATGGTATTGAGACAAGTGTGAAAATGATTGGAAAAAACTAAAAATTCAACATAATCAATTCAGGGTCCCCAGGAGCCGTGGGGAGGCACCATAAACCTGGGCTGTACCCGGGGGGGCACTGGTGGGACACTACATATCGGGCTCCTAGAAGCAAATGTATTATTCACAGACGCACAGCCATAAATAGAGAAATGAGCGAAACAAAAAACAGGTTTTTCCATGGCTGTAATTAGAGACACCAATTAACTAACATTACTGTATCGATTTAGACTGCAAGAGGAAGCTAGAGGAAGCTAGAGGAAGCTAGAGGAATCGGAAAAAAACAAATGTGTCAGCGGACGAACGTACACAGATGAAAAGCTGCACGGAAACCCCCAACGTCAGTGTGCAGCGACTGCGTTAGCTACTGAGCCATGGCACCACAGCCTCGAAACAGCTACAGGTTTATTTAACCACTACAAAGTAACAGGGGAATGAATTGCTACTTGCAGTTGCAAATCCACATAGCTACATAGGCATCTAGCTACAGTATATACCGTCAGTTGTTATTTGGCCTAACAGCAAGAAACAAGTTCTAATCTTTAGGGTGGGGCTGTAATGGTGCAGTAGATTAGCAATCACATTCCTGCTAACATTATGTTCTGTTGTATGGTGCCCTTATCTCTGGTTCTTTTTATTTGGGGGTCAAAAATCCCTACAGTAATGGACTAAGTTGAAGTCATAGCATTTTTATACAGGTCATCGTTGAGTTACGACCTATGAAACTTATGACTGATTGTCTTTACCACCGTTCCAAGGCTGCAAACATGCGGTCACAACTGTGCGGCATCTAGCAGCGTGAGAGTTGCCCAGTGTGAGTGTATGACAGGTTCCACCACTACTGCCGGTATCACTAGCATCCCCGTGAGAAAATCGTGAGAAAATCGTGATAAAAAGGTTAAAAAACACCAAACTATATGACTTAAAGATGGTATAATTCTATTATGTGGTATACTATTCATATTTTTGTATATAAAATAAAGGGCTGACTTACGACCAAATCTACTTACTACCGCAATGATCATGGTCGTAAATCGGAACTGGATCTCAAAAATCAGCATAAATCCTGACTTATTTCAAAAGACGATTTGACATTTAATGACTGAATAAGAACCTACATTCATGACGGTCGCAGTAGTAAATCTGGTACCTGGAATCAGAATGGTCTTGAGGGGGCGCACTTCAACCCCCTGGGTGGGGTACTGCAGGGGACTGTTGGCTTCTGCTACAATCAGCAGATCCGCGGGGGTCTGGTACCTGGAACAGATGGGACAGAGAGCCCCCCAAGGTTCAGCGACTGAGGGGAACAGCCAGCAATGGGAGTTGCTGCTGTTTGTCCAGCCTGTGCATGTGGGTGGGTGGCTGTATGTGCATGTATCATATTCAGTTAAATTACTTACTCTTTAATTCCCTTAATTTAATTTGTCAGTCTGTTAAATTGAATTGTGGTACAACAAACAGACAAATAGGTTTAAAACCCATTATACCGATACAGTGACTTAAAGGTCATTTCCCCTTGGGGATTAATGAAGTTTATGCAAGTAGTGAACTAAAAACTGCTACTAGCAGAGCAAGTTATTTATAATAAAAAGGACGATTCCTTTGTCTGAGGCTACTAGGACATCATGGTAATAGTAATAGATGATAATAGCCTCGCATGACAACAGCTCCCCCAATCGCTTGGCTCACCTTCTCTGAAAGCCGAGGTACTCCTGTGCCCTGCGCCGCTTCATCTCCTCCAGCTCCGAGGCCTTGAAGGCCGTGTGCAGGGGGTGGGCAGACACCCGTGGGAAGAGCAGCTGGGAGAAGGGCAGCCTCACACCTCTGCTCTCACCCTCGCACACGCATCCGTTTCGCGCCAGCAGACTGTGGGGGACGGGGGTGGGATGAGCAGTCTGCGCCAAGCGTGACTCCCTTCATTTCCTGGCATGTTTTCTCAGCTTTAATGCAAACAATCCCCGGCCATACTGCACTCTATAAAAAGTACATCCTGAGACAGCAGGGGTACAGGAACCTGGGGGAAAGGGGGGCGTATCCACCCCAATATTTAATGTGGCTTCAGTTATCCCCCCAGTAAACAGATCTTTGTATTTAAATAAAGTTGTGCCCTCCCCCCAATATCAAACTCTCTCTTACGCTGTTGTGTGATGGAATGGTACCTTATGCAGAGAGGGTCACTACCTTGTGTCTGGTGCCACCTGTTCTAGGCTCCAACCTCATCTCCCTTCCTGCCCCCCCAGGGATGCCCACTATATATTTCGAACCCCATGAAAGCATATCATGTTAGTCGCCCCCAACCCAGACAAACCCAATCATGCCTTCCCCAGCAGCCCACTGACCCAGCCACGCTCTCCTTCACACGGTACGGGATGTCGGCGTAGCGCTGCTCCCCGTCCGCCAGCCTCTCCTCTAGCAGCCTCTCTGCCTCACTCGCTGGCCTCTGCCTCACGTCTACATAGGTGTATGCCCGTGGCGTCCAAGAGCGCAGGAGTGCTGCTACCAACAGAACAGAGGCCACAATCCCCAGCAACACAGTCTTCCGGAGGGAACGCATCTTGGAAGCTGAGGTCCGAACACAGGAAGTAACAGTTTGAGAGATGTTATACTGCTGGCACGCATACTTTCCTGTTGCTTGTTTCCTGTATCAGTCATTCGCACTGAGCAGATATCATGGCTGTTTCACACCCATCTGACTGGAAGTTAGAATACGCCCTCTGTTCTGTTCTGAGTGTGAAAGGCTTAATTGTATGTTAAGAAGGTTTCCTCTCACAGTACAGAGATATGTGGTTAAAATAATTAGCATTCTCAATTTGCCTGTTGCACATTCCCTAAAAATGTCAATCCTAAAATGTAGTATTTGAAAAATAAAATAAGTACCCTACCTTTTGGAGGATGACCATTGATCAGGAAAAACAGTCTCCTGATGTTTTTTCCATGGGTTCCCCTCTATGCAAGTAGGGCGGCAACGCTTAATTGTCTCACAGCTTCCTGATTTCCAGGCCACATGATTTCAGGAAAGGGGTGGTCTCTGGCCGCTTCCCCATCTGCCCAATACATAAATTTACATCCATATATAGAAATATATATAGAAATTGTAGTTTCATGGAACAGCTAGCACTTAACAGAGACACGTCGTATTTCGGTAGTTTCCATTTAGGGGGCATGAAAAATACTAACTCACACTATAAACGACAAAGACAAAAGGGGAAGTTAAAAAAAAAATCATTACGCAAACATCAAGCGCTGTAGTTTATCTTTCAACCAAAAGTGGGTTATATATTTTGCTAATATATCGGTTAACATTTACCCAAATATAATTTGTGAGAAAGTCGGGTAAAATCAAAGAAAAGTAAAAACAGATCGCCAGCACACCACCAAGGCTATACATTAAAAATAAATACGTAGGGCTCATTTCTAAATACCTAGACCTTCATATCTCAAAAAAATCTCACTCAGACTTAAAGTAAATGATGTTTGTTTTACTCGAATATGAACGCAATGTTCTTTAAGTTCTTTTAAGTTTAACTTAAAATGTTACTTTCACATCCTTAAACACTATAATAGACCACGAGTAACGTGAACCAAGTGAAACTTATAGAGATAGATTTCAAAATTGCGCCGATTAACTCTTGCCATCAAATTTGATTTTAGTTTTATTTATTTCCATTTTATTTCCTATAAACTTTTACATTTCGTATAAACATATAGTATGTTCCAGCTTTTGTAATGGGATTTACTTTACAAAAATATACAATTAGCCTACCTTTACATACTGTATTAATAATCATCACTTTAAATTACCACTTTCAATATCATAATTTGAAATTTTGTCATTACAAATTATAAGCTACATCGGTACCAATAATTAGATATCGTAAACCTGTCCTCAAACGTACGTGTCCGTGGTAAGACTGGTCTGCGTTCGTGGTTAATAAAAAAAGAAACTCTGCTGGATAGGTGCTTAAATACCGTACGTGTCCTTAGTAAAACTGCACACGATGTCAGAATTTGCCGTGGTATTGACCCATGGCACAAAAATACTAGGTCATATTATACTTGTATGGGTTTTTAATTAAAAATTGTAGTATTGCCAATTCCTAATCATAGCGGGGGAAGGGATCGACCTCTTTTTTGATATGGGCGCTTCTTGGGAAACATGTGACGCTCGTCGGATCCGTTTTTGGATTCTCCACATTGTCCATTATTGGCGGAGACCAATTTCAAACAGAATATATTACGAAAAACTACACACGACCAGTGTCTGGAGATCTTGAAATATTGTTTCCATTGTTCTTCCAATTGTCTTTCTCCCGCCACCCAAAATTTACTGCGACAAATCGATCCTAAATATTCAGTATCAGTAATTCAGGTGTGGCATGGATTCACTAAAAACGCAGTATGAATCCCACCATGTAAAAGGCTACTTGTTTTATAATGCTTGGCTATTAGAGGCCTCTGCAGACGTACCGCCTTAGCGGCTCCTGCATTTTATCACACAAATGTATCAAAAGGACTGCAATAACATTCAGATTACGACTGCTGTATTTGCACAGTAAAAAAAGAAACATCCAATGATAGGCGACACAAAAGTAAAATAAAATGATGCCTAATATCATTGCCAGAGATACATTCTTGAAACGGTCCGTCTGGAGAAACTGGATTTGACAATCACCGTGACAGGGAAATTAAATAAGATTTTCCTCCACTATATTGCGAATAAAAACAGACGACAGTGTTTAGAGAGAGAAAGAAAATAAATCGCGCCTTACCGCGGTTCCTTCCTGAATGGGATGACAAAATTTCAGTACATCTGACCAAAATGAAACTGTAACACGCAGAGGACATATATAAAGCCTAGTGCATTATGCGGCTGTTCTGCCTTCTGTCCATAAGCCTGCATGGGCTTTGACAGCAAGATGTTTGAAGCCTCTGCCGGCGAATTGTGGAAACTGCAGTTTGCGGTTATTATAACGAGATGTCGAAATAACGAGATAACTATCAGTATATTCAGATAAGTATCTCGAAACAAGTTTCTAGCTTTAATAACTTTTCACGGAAGTATGGTGGGGCGTTTTTAATGATAGAATCGTGTTGTCCAGTACGATGCACACCAGGGCCGTGCAGAGACGTTTAAAGGGGCGGGTGCTCAACGTTAAAAAAGATAGAACAGGCTGAATAACAAC